CCTGAGTGCAGAGCCAGGAGTAACCCATGTGCATCCACCGGGTGTGACCCAAAAAGCCAAAAAAAAAAAAAATTAGAAAAAAGAATAGAATCCAAACTTCTTATATTGCCTAACAGCCTTCCTCACATCAGACAAATGTGCAATAAAGTCACTGACCTGTTACTCCCAAACTCCTTCCACCCACAGCTGTTTCTATGACCTCCATCTGAACACTCTGTCTTGTCCAGCATGTCATGCAGTTCAGTACAATATTACCCCTCAAAAGGCTTTTTCCTGACCAGCCTTTTCAGACTAACTCTACCCACTTTCTGCCATCTTACCAGTTTCTGTTTCTTCTTAGCACTTAAAACTAGCCAAATTATCTTGTTTGGAATTTACTCAGAGACTGATTTCTTCCTTGCCAGAATTAAGCTCCTAGGGCTAGCGATATTATCCCTGTTGTGATGTCTTCCTGGACAGCAGTACAAAGCCTCACACACACATTCACTGCAAGAGTGACTCACATTTACAAACTCTTATGTGTGAAGCACTATGCCAGACAATAGATTTTTTGTAAGAAAAGAATAGAAAATGGAAGTAAAATATCAATTTGAACAATTTGATATTCTTTTTATGTTGAGCACTTAAATTTTTTAAATGATACACAATGTAATTGCATATCCTTAAAATAGTAATAATTAGTATCACATTATAGTTTTAGGAGTTAACCATATGATTATTTTCATCTTTAGTGCATTTTAATACCAATTAAGCTATCACTCACTAAAATACTAACCACTTTCATTAATTACACCAATTTCACACATAGCACAGCGGGTAGGGCGTTCGCCTTACAAGCGGCCAACATGGCCGACCCGAGTTCGATTCCTCCGCCCCTCTCAGAGAGCCCGGCAAGCTACCGAGAGTATTCGATATGCTAGACACAGTAACAACAAAGTCTCCAATGGAGACGTTACTGGGCCCACTCGAGCAAATCGACGATCAACGGGAGGGCCTTTACCTTTACCTTTACCATCCAGTAAGAAAAACCATGAATTACTATTAAACTGTTCTGTTCTCAAATATAAAAACATTCACAATCCGACAACAGAGGTCACCAACTCACCATTTATTTCCTGGCCTCAGAATGATTTAATTTGCTTCATTCAAACAAGGAAGTAATCACTTTACAACTAACTGCTTATCAAGTTCACTTCACAAAACTCATCACTAAAATTGATTCACACATCACCCCCCAATGCCCATTATGAAAGAACATGTCCAACTGAATCAGGTTAAGAAGGCATGTTTCTTTGTTACAGTAGGACTTTTGGGTCCATCTAATTCAGAGCTATAGCAGAAAAACCTTAGCATCTGATGTAATCAAACCAGTTACTACCACTATCATTATGACATCACTAAATATCTTAAGGCAAGAATGCATCAACTAGGAAGAGGCAGATATAAAGCATTTAACAAAATGGCATCTCCTCAGATCAAGTGTTTTGTATAATTTTATTTTAGTATATTTCTAAATTTATTATATCCTACTTCCATATTTGTAAGAGTTTAATATACTAATATTTTTAAACAAAGCATAAGTCTAAGAAGGTATCATACTAGGTTTTCAAAGTATTATAAGGTTTATTATTTCAAAGTATAAGAAGGTTTCACACTAGGGAGATGAATCCATTCATGCAACTTTGTTTTGGCATTTTGCTTGTTTTTGTTTTTTTTTGTTTTGTCTTAGGGCCACACCTGGCAAATGCTCAGGAATTACTCCTGGCTCTGTACTCGCGAATTACTCCTGACAGTGCTCAGGGGATCATATGGGATGCCTGGGATCAAACTTGGGGCAACTGCATACAAGGCAAGCATCATATCCAATGGAGTATGTGGTGGTAGAGTGGTGGTGGTGGGTAGCAGGGAGAGGCCTTCATTCAACTTTGAATGAATAATACCTTTGAATAATAGATTTTTCTTAAATGCACTCAACCAAATGCATAAAAGACATAGCAGAACATGTTCTATTTAATTAACTTTCTTTTTTTAATCCTTTGTTCCTTTCTTTGGGGTAGGGGTAGGGCTGCACACCCAGAGGTACTTGAGATTACACAAGGGTAACTCCTGGTAGCGCTGTGCAAGAAACTGAATTCAGGCCTCCCATGTGCAAAAGCATGCACTCAGCCCATTAAGCACCAATCCTAAAATTAGCTTTCTAACCACACTTGCCAATACAAAAGGGGAAGAGGATTATGAGAACATGACCATAATATTTTTAATTGTAACAGTTACTATTTAAAAGCAGAAAAATTATGAGTATAGCCAAAAAAAAACCCTTAAATCCTAAAGAAACGCTAAGAAAATCAATATTTTCTAAGGCACATGTATTCTTTTTGTATTTTAACTGGGTTATCTTAAAAGTTTCTTCCAGTGTTTTAGAACACTGGTTACACATTACCTTTCTTTTTTCTTTAGTCCAGCTATGTATTTTTATAAACTTATTTTAAGACCCCTAGAATTAGCTATTAGGTAAATTTAAATACCATTAATTACATATCTGCCTTCAAACTTGCCCTTAAGACCAAGATGACTACTAAAAGTTAAATCAGAACACAAGTTCATTTTTATTTTTAAAAAATATCTCTAAAATAGCTCATCAGCAAAAATATACTATTTATTTTACTCCAATTTTTAGAAAACGAAAAAGATGCCTTCATCAATCAATGTAGAGGTCATTATCCTGACCAGCATCTGCTTCTGGTTAAAGAAACCACACTTAAATTTTCATAAATATAAGTTTTTTTTAACAAATTAAAAATAATTTTAAATATTGTATTTCTCAAGTAGAGAATAATACATAACAAATATTGTATCTCTATTACTGTAAAAATAAGCCATTCTCAACATGTAACTGATAAAAATGTTACTGGAAAAGCAAGTCCTGATTTACCAATGGTTCATCACTGCCTTCAAAGTTGAGATAAAATAAATCCTCTGTGAACATAAACTGTTCAAACTCCTTGGATTTGGTTAGATTCATACAGCATACTCTTCTATAATATCCTTTACTTCACACAGAAAAGGGTGTCAGTTACTTATAAGTACTATTTCTCCCCACATATCCCCATAGAAAACATTGGAGAAATGAATAAAATGTATGAGTGATATTACAACTCCAAGAAGCTATTACTACAAATAAAGTTAAGAGGTTAAGTTACAATGACATTACAGATGGCTACTAATATGCACAGCTAAATTGAAACCACTCCCTCAAGCCTCCAGGGATAATAAAGTGTCTTCTTGCTCACTGAAGTTACTTTTCAAGATCTGCCATAACTCAGTATGCAAGGGCAACCTCACACATGCTCTCTTTCTCCAACCACAAACAGTAAACGTTTTAGCAAAAATAATTCCCTGTTTATAATACTTTTTTATTAACTTGTGCTTACAGGATACCTATCCCTATTACATGATACCTATTTATTACATGATACCATTCTCTTAAGTGTTGTAGAACCAAATTTAAGAGAATGATTCAAACCTGTTTTTTAAAATATACCATCTATGTATAGATCTAAAGTGCAAAATGATGACTATAGAAAATTCTGTAGTGTATGTATTGTATGCCTGAAACTTGCAATTTCAAAATGTTCTCACCACAAAAAAATAAAAGGCAACTATGTGAGGTGATGGCATGTTAGTTTGTAGATACAATTTTACAATGCATACTTAGAAATATTAGCAATACATTTCAAAACAATTGTACAACTTAAATGTAACACAATGTCGGTCACAGATTCTCCAGTCAAGCTGTCAAAAGTCACATCACAAAAAATGTAACTATCACAGAACTGCATTATACAATCTGGGTCTGCACCGTGTGTGTGTGTGTGTGTGTGTGTGTGTGTGTTAAAATAATAGGGGGTGAGGAGAGCAAATAAAAGCACTTTCCACTGCCGCTTCTGCTTTTTTGGTTTTGCAAAGAGGTTTTCGGTTTTCTTAAATGCACGCCAAACGTCAGTTACACACACACAAACATTTCGTGGAACACGGTTAACTACAGGAACCCTTAGACCCCACTAAAATCACAGGAAATTTTGTGGGTAAATGAATGTGGCGTTCAGGGGGGTTGGTTCGTTTCCTGGATAAAAAGGCCCATACATACATAACTTTCACCTTCTTAAAATCAGGGCAATATTTACTCGAATCCGATGGCTTTCCTACACAACTTCTGGGCGAGGCATGCCAATCAATGGCTTTCTTGAACCATTCACCTCCCAACGCAACAACACCCCCAAACTCCCTCGATGGGGTCAGGGACGAGAAAAAAAAAATGGATTACACCCCCCAGTGCTCAAAGGTCACTGGAACCAGCTGGACAAGTCCCCCTCACGCCGCCGGAAGAGGCAGGAAGTGGGGACAAGGTTTCAGCAGGGGGGCTGAAGTCGCCCCTCGGGGATCACCCGTAGCGACAGCACCCTCCGGCGGCCCCCAAAGACGCCCCCAAGGAGCGGCTCGCGGGCGTGCGCGCCGCAGCTCCCCGCGGCTGTGGAGGCGCACCCCGTGGAAGTCCCCCCCGCTGCCGCAGCACGGTCGCAACGACCTTCGCGCCGGCTTCCCGCGAGCCCCGTTATTCCACGTCAGTCAACGCCCCACGCCGGACAACAAAGCCCCAGCCGGAGAGGCCCGGGCGAGCCCTGAAGTTGGGGTTCGGGGAAACTGAGGCCCGAGAACGATCGAGGCCTCGGAGACCCGCGGCCGGCGCCGCGCCGGGATGCGGGGCCGACCGGTCCCAGGGACGGACGCGCGCCCCGCCAGATGTCAGCCCCGGGGGGACCCGGTTGTCAGCCGCCGGGAGGAAACGGGGCGGGCGTGAGGCGGCTCCGGGGAGGCGGCCTGGGGGGTGGGGGGGAGGTAGGCCTGCAGAGGGAAGGGGAGCGGCCGCGGGGTCCCGCCGAAGAGCCGCCGCGCTCGCCCCCGACCCCCGCGTCTCGGCCACCGACTGTCCCGTTACTTACCCGCCGGGAAGCTGCGGGCTCCGGCCGGGCTGTCCCGGCCGCCAGCCTCGGAGGCCAGGAAGCGCCCCCACATCGCGCGCGGGAAGGCCGGCTGGGCCGGGGGCGCCCGACTCCCGGCGTCCGTCCTCCCAGCCGCTGCCTTTGCCTCTCGCGCGGCGGAAACTTGTGTGGAGCCTGCGCCGAGGCGGCGGGGACGGGCGGACCAGCGGCTTTTTTTTTTTTTTCACGGCTTCTCAGCAACGGGCGGGGATCGCAGGAAGCACGTTCACCGCGGACACGGCGGCGGCGGCGGCGGCGGCGGCGGCGGCGGCTGCCATGGCCAGACCGGTCGGGCCGAGCCCCGGGGCCAGAGACGCGGCGGCTGGGCGCTCACGGCGGCTGCGGGGGGCCCGGCCGAGCCGAGGCTCCGACGCTCCGGGCTGAGTTGCAGCTGCGGCTTCTCTCCGCCCCCTCAGCCTGCCGAGCCGGGGAAGGGGCGGGACCTGGCCTGCGAGGGGCGGAGCCTGGAGGGCGGGGCCTCGGAGCTTTACATAAGGCTTGCGGCGCCGGGAGGAGCTGCAGGCGGTCGTCTTTTGAGCATCCCTGAGCGCCTTTGGGTCCGGGCAGGTCCACCAGGATGTCGGGCACTGCGGGCGCCACGCTTCCTGCAAGTCCCCGGATCCTGACATCGTAGGGGGAGGAGGATCTGTTAAGAACCTTCTGTCCTGCCGTGCAGCTGCTTTCTTGACAATCACACACTCCCTGCACCTTTCGGAGAGGTGGAAGTCTTGCCCTTGAGGATTTGAGGAGCTCTTGCGGTCAAATGAGATTGGGTCTAATTTGCGCATTCCAAAAATGTGTTTTAAAAATCACTTTGGTTCCGGAGAGAGAGAAACGTTAAGACACTTTCTTTGAACGCAGCTGACCCGGTCTCTGCGTATGGTCTCCTGAGCAGAGAACCCACAGTAAGCCCTAAGCGTTGCCCCGTGTTGAATCCAAACGAACAAACAAGCAAGCAAAGAGTTCTGAAAGTGAATTTTTTAAAAAAATGTTTTTCTCAATTCACTAATTTAAAGGGGTGGAGAGAGGGAAAAGAGAAGTAGGTGCCAAAATATTTAGGACACCGGTATGTGCACCAGAAATCATAGTCAAAAATGACTCAGAGGTAAGAAAGTTTGCAGATAAGCAATAGGAAAGGAGTCAAAATGCCTCCAGAGTGAATGATAGCAGAGTAACCTTAGTTCTGCTGCCTTACCCCCAACCCGGTGCTTTCTCCTGCCACCTGGTCCGGTTCTCACCCTCTTTAACATCAAGTGCAGAATCATCTTAAAGAAACAACTGCGGCTGCATCCACCTCTTTTTAAACCTTTCTTCCCATTGGCAATATTATAACACAGCATTTAGATGCAAAGTAGTTTGATAAACATTGCCTAAGCACAGCAGGAGGCCAGCTCTGCACTATGCTGATAAAAAGTAAGCTAGAACTCAAAGCCCTTGTCGCAAAAGTTTTTGAGCCTAGTGAGGCCTCTTTTGGAAGTCTGCTCTGAGAGAATTCATATTTGCATTTAAACATCCTGTAGGTGGGAAATACATTTAGGTGTACAGTCAATTATGTGCCACCCAGGTTGTAATTTTCTTAGTTTAACAAACTCCCTACAGTAGAGTTCCACTTATTTCTCCAAATGATGATTAGCTGAACAAGTTGGGTCAACTGTTTCTAAAGATAGAAAGTCTCAGAATGTAAAAGAAGGATGTGGTGAGTTCTTTTCTAATTTAACTGTATATTAGCTCTGCACAGGTTGAAAGTTAGCTCTTTAGGGGTTGAGGTTTTGCCTTGCATGGAGCTGATCTGGCTCAGTATATAGTCTGTCAAGAACCACCAGAAGTGACCCCTGAGTACAGAATCAGAATAAGCCCCTGAGCACAGGATCAAGAACCTAAAGACTATTAACCATTACTGATCTCTGATGTATACTTGCATTTTTGTTTTGCTTTTTCAGTTTGTAAAGAACATAAAGAGATTCTTACAAGCAAAGATATTTATTGTGCTTCAGAATTTTGTTCTAATTTCAGCCGAGATAATAAAAATACGACCATCCTGTTGTTCGTCGATTGCCTCGAGCAGGCCCCAGTAACGTCTCCTTCGTCCTAGCCCTGAGATTTTTTTAAAGTGCCATATTCAAGGTTCTTTCAGGGTTAGAAAAATGAGACCCATCATTGTTATTGGTATTTGGCATATTGGGTATACCACGGGGAGTTTGCCAGACTCTGCCATGTGGGCAGGTTACATTCGGTAGTCTGCCAGTTTGTCCAAAGTAGGAATGAGATGATAAGATGTCGCGCGGCCACGCGCTTCCGGGAGCTGAGTGTGATAATCTCTGGATCCTGGCTATTGTTGGGGTTACATGGCAGTTGGTGGGTGTAACTGTCTAGCTACTGGCAGGTCCAGTCCCAAACCATGCAGGCTTGGAGATTTCAGCCCCGGGTCCCACACACCTGGGTTCCTCTGCCAGTTCTTTTATGCGTGAGGCTCATCCAAGTGTGTGAAGAGTGGTCCCAGCATGGCCTTGGCTGGGGCCCAGAGGTCTTCAGCTGTTTGGCCCTGGTGGGGACAGTCAGGCACAGGGTAGGAGAGAAATAAACATTGAATAATCACTTGTGTCTCTAAACTTTTTTTGGCTAGGTGTTTTTTGTTTATCTTTGTATGAGTGGAGTCATAGCACAGAGGGTAGGGCATTTGCCTTGCACGTGGCTGACCCACGTTCGATTCCTCCCTCCCTCTCCGAGAGCCTGGCAAGCTACTGAGAGTATCCGGCCTGCATCGCAGAGCCTGTCAAGCTCCCCTTGGTTTATTCCATATGCCAGAAAGAGTTAACAACAAGTCTCATGATGGGGATGTTACTGGTGCCCACTGAAGCAAATCAATGAATAACGGGAGGATAGTGCAGTGCTATAGATAAGGTTGCTTATGTGAAATTTTGATACTTGATGTCTTGAGAGATATGGTCACGGTCCTCCCGTTGTTCATCGATTTGCTCAAGCGGACCCAGTAATGTCTCCATTGGAGACTTTGTTGTTACTGTGTTTGGCATATCGAATACGTCACAGGGAGCTTTCCAGGCTCTGCCGTGCAGGCGAGATACACTCGGTAGCTTGCCGGGCTCTCCGAGAGGGGCAGAGGAATCGAACTCGGGTCGGCCATATTGGCTGCATGCAAGGCAAACCGCCCTACCGCTGTGCTATTGCTCCAGCCCATCTTGAGAGAAAACTTGAAAAATACAAAATCGATCACAAAAGTGAAACATAGCACTGAAATTTCATATTTAATTTCATATTTAATCGCAAACCATATTAAAATATTGCATTATTTTTCTTTAAAAAAAGACTTTTGGTTTAGTTTGGGGAGGGGTGAGAAGAGGAAGGTAAAGAAGAGACAAAGAAAGAAAAGGAAGGAAGGAAGGAAGGAAGGAAGGAAGGAAGGAAGGAAGGAAGGGAGGGAGGAAAGGAAGGAGAGAGAGAGAGAAAGAAAAAGAAAGAAAGAAAGGAAAGAAAGAAAGAAAGAAAGAAAGAAAGAAAGAGAAGTAGTTTTCTTAATTCATAATGCAAGTAAGATTTTCAGTCAGTGTAATTGTGATTGATAAAAAAGTTCTTAATCCAGGGATGTAGAGAGAAAGGGGGGAAGGAAGATACAAGAAGGAAGGAAAGGAGGGAAGGAAGGAGGAAAAGAAGGAAGATCTAACTACTGCTGTAGTCCATTATTCAATCAAAGTTTTTAGTCAGTGCAATTTTGATTAGTAGAAAGTTCTACATGCTGTTTTTTTGGTCTTTTTCAATCCTGGATGGTCTTTGCTTATCATCTTGGTTTCATCTCCCTGACCAGGGTTGGCTGACAAGTATAAGCAGACTTTTACAGGCTGACTGCCCCTGATGTGCCTAGGCTCAACCCTCAACAGTCTCCTCTTTTTCTACCCAAAATCAGGGTAGCATCACTTTTATTTTAATATTAGGTAACAACATGTATCTCTAAACTGATATTTTATTTTTAGTGCAATAATGTACTAGAGCGATAGCACAGTGGCTAGGGCATCTGCCTTGCACGCAGCCAACATGGCCGGGCCGGGTTCGATTCTTCCACCCCTCTAGGAAAGCCTGGAAAACTATTGAGAATATCTATCTTGCCCACACGGCAAAGCCTGGCCAGCTACCTGTGACATATTCGATATGTCAAAAATAGTAACAACAAGTCCCACAATTTGTTGTGAGAAGTTACTGTTGCCCCTCGAGCAAATCAATGAAGAAGGGAGGACAGTGCTACAGTGCTACAGTGCAATAATGTAGCTTTATTTAGAGAACTGTGAGGAGGGAGGGAGAGCAAGACAAAAGAAGATAGACAACACCATCTCAAGTTTAAGGCAGGCAAATCTTATAGAAATGTGTCTAAACTAACTATAACTGTCTTTTGTTTTTTCTTTTTGGGTCACACCCAGCGATGCTCAGGGATTAGTCCCAGCTCTGCATTCAGGAATCACTCTTAGGAGTGCTCCAGGGACCATATGGATGCTCAGGATTGACCGTAGCTGGCCATGTGCAAGTCAAATGTCCTACCCGCTGTACCATCACTCTGGCCCCTTATAACTGTCTTGCATGTGTTTTCTTATAAATATATTAGAGTAGGCAAGCAAGCCCCAGAATGTTAAACAACTTAAGAATAAATAGCAATAGATGAAAAGTGATATTTAAAAATTGAAAACATCTTGTGAAGTCTTAAGACACGTAGCACTGTAGCATTGTCCTCCCGTTGTTCATCGATTTGCTTGAGCGGGCCCAGTAACGCCTCCATTGTGAGACTTGTTGCTACTGTGTTTGGCATATTGCATACGCCACAGGTAGTTTGCCAGGCTTTGCCATGCGGGCGAGATACTCTTGGTAGCTTGCTGGGCTCTCGGAGAGGGATGGAGGAATTGCAAAGGAATCGAACCAGGCTCCGTCGGCTGGCCACGCACAAAGCAAACGCCCTACCGCTGTGCTGTCACTCCAGCCCAGGACAAGTAATGTTCTTAAAATAAAAAAAACCTCAAAACCACCAAAATAAGTAGAAAATTAAATCAACCATTAATAATTGAAAACAATTAGAACAATTGCCACTTGATAAAAACAGATTTGGGAAAATATCTTTAATAAAACAAAAAAAATGAACATATAGATAATTCTAGTGTATCAATAATTTGTACTAC